CTTCCGATCACATTTGCCTCTTCCCCTGATAAATGGACTAGGATATTTTGTTTGCACAAAAAGGAAACATAAGTTTGAATTATTTTAAAACCCAATTTGAAGCACAGCCACAGACAAACAGATTTGAGATTTAGATTTGTGACCTGATGCATCTACACTGCAGTCAATTTGTATTATGCCACCTGACAGGACACATTTGAAGACTGTTCCAGAACACGCAAAAGCTGCAGGAAATGCCAACAGAAACAATCTGACACAGCAGATTGGGCACTCGTCTCTGCTACCCCAGGAATAGGCACACACCAGCCTTTTTCAAGGTCAGAATCATATGTCAAATTTCCTCTCATTTCTGAAAGCAGGTCAGGGAAAGATGATAGGACTGTCAACATCACCCTCAAAGAATAACAGCACAACTTTTCCCAAGCTAGAACGTGGTTAAAACTGAGAAGTGTTGAGGCATATTTTGGATTTTTACTTTCAGAATGGTTCAGATCCTGAGCCATTCCATTTATGTCAATAATTAACTATTTGGAATCATAAAAACTAGCACCATTACATCACAGTGGACAAAAGCCTACCCACTGGGCTTATGATAACTACTGCTTCAGTGGTGGTTACCCAATGGCTCTAATTTGAGAACTCCTGCGTGTTTTGTTAGGCAGTGTGAGTTTCCAGAAATTCAGTCACAAAAATCACTGAGTCAAAGCTGCCAAATGTTCAAGAACATCTGATGTTTTGTGTCCTTGGCAGCTTCAAGTTTTAAATAAATACCACAAGTGCAAGAAAATAATACAGACTTACAGGTCTCTTTCAACAATTCAGGTTGTGAGGGACCTCAGGAGGTCTCTAGACCAACCTCCTGCTCAAGTCTCAGTCAATACTGATTTCAGATCTGGTTAATTAGGATTTTGTCTAGTAAAGTCTCAAAAACATCTAAGGATGAAGACTCCATGGCCACTGTGACAGCCTACTCGTATACTGGACTGCCCTCCACCAGACAGGTTTACAGTTCAGAACTGATCCTGTAAGTGATTTGGGGCTTATATCATTATATAACACAATGATAACACTCAGGTACAACTACCCAGAAGGCTGGTCATAGAGAAACTCATCTGCCACCACGCTTCCTTGATCTACTCATGCCCTTTAAAAAACATTGTGGTAGGAAACTATGTGAATTGCAAAATATTCATGTCAGGAAAACAAGGAAATAACATAGATAATTGTCTGTGGAGCCATACTCCCACCAGGCAGATCCAATACTTTATTATAGATGTTGTTTTCTTTGGAGGAAGAACATGAATGAGCACCAAGTTTTACCATTTCCCTCAACCATCCCTCTTTCATTCTAGAAATCGAGTAACTTGTTTGCCCTTTGTGCACCCTTTCAGAAGAAACAGCATTCCTGTGATATTGCTACTAAAACAGTAGGCTGACAGGTTTAACAAGTTAGTGCTTGTACACGTCTCAAGAGATACCCACACCCAGGTAGCCCCAACCTGCTTACTAGGGTGATAAATACCTGTTCCAACCCACATTTGAGTTTTAAAGAAGCAGAATCCTCTTGTTACCCAATTATGAAAATTTTCCTGCATTTTAGAAATGTAAATTTCTGTTAATGTTCCCATCCTTTGTTGA